GAAGCATTCATTCGGCATGGCTAATTCCCCTGGAATGCAAATGGGATTGAGTGATTGCTCCATTTTTTCTCCTGAATTTATCACTTTAGTCACTACAAATGGTAGCAATAATCTTTGAAGGCAGTGTTTAAATTCTCACTCATCCAATATTTAGAATACCTTGACTCACCTAATGCTCCAATTTGAACAGTGTCATTTTAATAAAGTTTGGAAAAAAATACCAGCTTGGATGCATGATACAAACTGAAGTCAGTGCTTATGACTAATACGATTTACGTTGACAAAATTACTCATTTGCTTCCTCCAATTTTGACACCTTCAGTATTTCAGGATTACATATTTTTCTGTAAAAGATAATTCATGAAATCCAACTACTCTGAGCAATACCACTCCTCATCTTCAGTCAGCAGCTTTGTGAGTATTAGTAGTTTTGGGCAATTCCCAACATTCTAATTCAACATATCTGGGTCTTCTGATCATTGGATGTCAACACAGTTGACACATGGATTACACATGTAAAATAACCAATCTATATGTCATTAGCCTAAAATGGCACGGTGCAGAACTGGCTAGTTAGAATATAAGCCAGACAGTTAATTCAATATAGCAACTAATTGTACTCTTAAGTATTCTTGTATTTTTAAAATCTTATGCTAGAATCAGTAATGGAAACCCCTTCTCTAACTTACTTCCTAACAGTTAGGCTGACTCTAATAAAGTACAAGAGTCTTTTCTCCATAGTTTACATAACTCAGGAATACATTATGATTAGACTAAGCTGAGGGATATAACAAGAGGAGAAAAACTGGACAAACTAGGATAAACCAGAGAGAAAATCGGAAAATCACAGTTTGTGAGAATCCTTCATTCATTTGATTTCTTCAACACCTTTTGGTAACAGTTTAAAAAATGACCCCATAACAGTTAGGAATCAATAGAAACAAGTATTCAACCCAAAAGCATACACCACAGATTGAAGAAACATAATCTGACTTGTGTTCAGTTTGAACCAAGCAAAGTAAATATTTTCCAGGTTAAATTGTAATAGTTGCTGGGAAATGTGGGTAAGAAAAGGTTTTGAGCAGGAATGTAGGGAAATCCATCATCATGATCATCTTTAATATCAAGTGTGAGGAGAAGAAAATACAGCAGTAGAACACCTATTACATATAAATCCATTATGTAGAAAAGAATACAGGTAGCTCTTGTTTAGTGATCACAACTGAGACAGACAACTCAGTTGTTAAGCAGAGTAATCACTAAGTGATACCACAACTGTATTTAAGATCTTAGTTCAGATTGCTTTACAGACCTGTAAATGTCATAAATATGAGGATTTGGTCACAAAGTTACTTTTTCATCACCATCATATATGTTGTTGCTAAATGAAACAGTAGTTAAATAAGGATTATTGTATTGGGCACAAGATGGCCTCTCTTTAGGCATACACCTAAACATGTGAAGGTGGATAGGACAGGAGTTTCCAGATTGGGGCAGAGGGCAGATGAGTGGGAAACAGTCTCTGTTAGAATTTTAGAAATTTTAAGGATCTGAATGGTCCAGTTGAATGGTCCGGTTTCTTACGTATTCATATGCTGAATCTAAATCAATATGCTTGTTCTGGCTCTTTTGAAAAAGTTTGGATGCAACTCCTCTTATGTACAGTGGGGTAGTTGCTTGTGAATTTAGAATTTGGTCTGTGTGTGGGGATTTTCGATATATGCAGGTTGTAAATTCACCATTATCTTATCTCTTTATGTCAATGTCACATACAGTCCAACAACAGAGAACATATGAGAAAAAGAGAAGACAAATAATACCTGTACAAAGTGATTGCAGAACTTGAGAGCAGTTCACAGCAATCTTCCAGAACAGGAACCAATCACCATCAAGTAGCTGACATCCAATAGCAGATCAAGAACATGAAGAGTTGGACAGCTCCTGTCCTAGACATAATTCATAGCTACAGTCCCTGTTGCTTCCCTGCAAAGGTTTGAACTTCTTCATTCAGATAATCACAAAGACTGTATATGGAAAGAAGTTCAAGTGAAAGTACCATCAGCCACCTCTTCTACATGGTTGTCATCAAATTATATGCTAAGACTGAATGAGATATCGATTCGCTGATCCCTCTGACACATTTCTTCAGTGAGGACACTGAAATGTCATTAGGACTAGAAAAGTGTGGCCAGATGGTAGTAAAGAGGGGGGAAAGTAGTTAAGACCGATGGGCTGAAATTACTAGCAGGCCACATAGCAGACAAACAGACCAGTTACAAATACCTGGGTACCTATGGAAATCATGAAGAGGCAGCAAGGAAAACAGCAACAGCCAATACCAAAGTACAACAAAGGTATAAGATAGATCCTGAAGCTCAATGGGAAGAACTAGATTCACGTAAGTCAGCAGATACCCTGCCAGTATAGTGAGCTGGCCAAAGGAGGTCATGGAAGCTGCCAAATTGATGACCCAGAAACTCCTCAAATCCCAGGACTAACACCTAGAGACCAGCTAAAAAGAGGACATTCTGGGTCTAGTAAGTGTCAAGTGTCACTATAAATAAATCTAGATAAAACCCAGAGCATTCAGGAATACTTGTGTGATTAACGGTGAAACTGTTTTTAGAAGAAATTGATTACTATATATAACCTTTGTAAGTTTGATATTATGAAAATGGTTTCTGACTTTTGAAGAAAAAGGAATTTATTTTTATAGTAATGTTATGAACACTACAATTAAAAAATAAAAACTAATAAAAGTATAAAAATAAAAAAAATATAACATGCAGAAAAGAAGAAAAACTAGAAAGGAAAATAGAAAAAGTAAAATTAAAAATTAGGAATACACTAAAGAAAAAAGATATATAAAGAAATAGCTTTCCCTTCTTCACAACAAATAAAAACATTAACATTACTTTCTCTTAAAATGCAACATATCTTTTCCCATATCTCATCCTAGAAACAAATCCTAAAGTCCCTTGTTCGGTCCTGGTCAGCAAAAGTCCATCAAAGGTTATCAGAGATTACAACAGATCTCTTTTAACCTTAATCAAATAAATCAACTTTATATTCCTTTCTTTTAGTTTTGATAATCTTAATCTTTAGTCCCTTCAAATAAGGATCTAAGGCAGTGTTTCCCAAACTTGGGAACTTTAAGATGTATGGACTTCAACTCCCAAAATCCCACAGCCAGCCATGCTGGATGGGGAATTCTGGGAGTTGAAGTCCACACTTCTTAAAGTTCCCAAGTTTGGGAAACACTGATCTAAGGCTTGATTTTTTTCCCCCATTTTTTCTTTGTCCCCTATCACAATTCTTTTTCAAAACTTTAACAAGTCTCTGTTGTAAGAGGAAAAGGATAGTTATTTGATCACTCTTTTGGCTTTATTAAGACATCAGTCAGTTTCATTTTATATCCAGTGTAGAACCTTTTTCCATATCATTCCTGTAGCCTGTCACCTTTAATTCACTTCAGATATTTAAACTTTAAAAGATCATAGGATACTTTTCTGAACTTTTGTGAACTCATTGCTTAGCATTCATAGAATTCTTTGAATGTATAGAATTTGTTGATGACAGTATTAAAGCTTCCTGGATGCATGGTTTCCACAATGCAGAATACACAACAGTAGCCATGAGATCAGTGACTATGACAACATCCAAGAGAGGCAACAATTTATTTGGGTAATCTATTTACGTTTTCTATTACGTAATTGCAAAGTGCTGAGCTAATTTTTCTAAAAATTAGGAAAAAAGGAGGAAGCTGATGTTATGAGTCATTGTATTTTCAATCACATTGAAAGCCAATGCAATCCTAAATTACATTAACAGAGGGATACAATCAAGATCAAGTGAGGTACTAATACCACACTACAAAGCCTTAGTACACCTAGAATACTGCATCCAGTTTTGGTCACCACACTATAAAAAAGATGCTCAGACACTAGAAAGAGTGCAGAGAAGAGCAAGCAAGATGATTAGGGGACTGAAGGCTATAACATACAATGAACGGTTGCAGGAACTGGGCATGGCTAGTCTAGTGAAGAGAAGGACCAGGGGAGACATGATAGCAGTGTTCCAATACTTGAGGAGTACCACAGAGAGGAGTGGGTCAAACTATTTTCCAAAGCACCTGAACGCCAATCATAGTGACATTCACACATAACCCTTAGGTCTCATTTATTTACATTCCATTTTACTTCTCATTTGTTTTTTCTTCAATGCATGTGCTTATGGATTCTAATGATTGTAAGTCACTCTCCCTACTAAAGGTGTGGCTGACACTATTCTCTGAAGTTCTGACACCACTCTTGAAATTCACACTGTTGTGTTTTTCAGCAGACTTTGGGACACAGGATTTCTAACCCCATTTTACTATATGGTTACAATGATGTGTGACTGCTTTTTTTATTCCATATTGCCCTCCCATGCCCCTTTGTGGATATTAGCTATTTCATTGTTATTTGCTTGATTTGTCTTTCCTTTGGATTATTAAAATATTAATAATGTACTGTGATTCACATTGGATATAAATCATTTAAACAGTAATTACTTGTTTAAGTAATTAATTAACCTACAGAACTGGGGGTGGCTTCTCCTAGCAATAAATTGTTTAGCAACAATCACTGTTGTTGATCAGGGAAACCACACCACATCATTCAGGCCTGTTCATCTCAAAAAGCAATTCATACCATGTAGCACTCTTGATATAATACCTTCTCTTGGGGTTAAAAAAAAAAGCAGGTGTGTAAGATGGTAAACTTGCAGAAATGCTCCTTTCTTCTTCTTCTTACTCCAGGATGCTATTTGTATTACTTTTAAAAGAACAGGATTTATTTGAAGAAAGCGCATATGCTTTGGGCAACTTTTTTCCCAAGTGGAAGAAACACTGGATATCTTTCTAGTATTAATTTCTCTCTCCTGTTTTCCTCACCTCTGTTTGTAACTTTTTTCCCTGAACTTTAATCTCAAGCAGTAAAGAAGTTTTTGAGTCAATCTGCTTAGTTACAGGTAATTCATTATAATTTGTTCAAAAACAAAAGGCAGAGTTTCTGTGCAGTCAGAAGGCACTGCATGGCTAAAATGTCAGGGAATAATAGCAAGAGGTCTTTTCCTGAAATATAGCTGTCTTGTTAAAGGCAGCCAGTGTGCCAGACACTATGTCTTCTCCAAGATTCCTGCTAAGCCAACAATATTCTCTCCTGTCTTCCTCAGAAACCTCAAAATCACTGCAAAACAAAAGGGAAAGATGCTCTACTTCTTGTCAGTCAATCCTTACCTGCCTTCTTAATCTAGAAGTTTATAGCCCAATCTTCTTCCACAGTGTTTTGTTTTGCCTCCCATCTCTAAATAATTTGGTGTGTTTCTTGGGTCTCTTGGATGGAAAGATAGAAATAACATTGTGTCCAGATGAGTTTCTCTTGTCCTGGAAATGAGATAGAGGCAAAGAACAGAACAATAAGGTGGAGAAGAGTATAAAACAAACAATAAACCAAATCACATACTAGAAACAATAGAGAAGGAGAAAGGATGAAGTAGCCTAAAATTAAACTAGGGGGAAATGTAACCGTTCTTTTAAAAACGATGCCAGACATTTCCACTGTCTTTGAATTAATGTTCATTAAGGAAGGAAATCTGTCTGTATCCTGTTACCAAATTGACTGCCAGGAGTTCAAGTACCGTATTTTTTGCAATATAAGTGCTCCAGACCATAAGACGCACCTAGCTTTTGGGGAAGAAAACAAGAAAAAAACATCTGCCTCCCAGCAATTTGCCTTTTTGCAGCAAACAGCCTGGTCAGCTTCAGCTTCAGCACAGCCCGATTTAGCACGAGCAACTGATTGGCGATTGGATCGGCCTCCCGGAATACCGCCAATCAGCTTTTCCAGGCTGCAGGGATCGCCACTGCCCATTGCTGCCACCACCTATCGCCCCATTTTTTGCCTCCACGTGTCCCATTTTTGGCCTCCATGCATTCCATTTTCGGCCTCTGCATGCCCCATTTTCGGCCTCCGCACATCCCATTTTCGGCCTGTTCCAGGCGGCGAGAATTGCCGTCGCCTATCACCACTGTTCACTGCCATTTGCTGCCACCGTTCACTGCCACCATTCGTTGCCACTGAATGGCAGCAATTGACAGCGGCCGAAAACGGGGCACAAAATGGGGCACGCGGCAGCAGCAATGGGTAGCAGCGATCCCCGCAGCCTGGAACAGCTGATCAGTGATATTCCGGGAGACCAATCCAGTGGTGGGACTCTGCCGGTTCTAGGCAGTTCGGCCAAACCGTTTGTTAAATTGCTGGCTCACCCTGCCCCTTGCCCCGCCCCTCCGCATCACTGGGCGAGGGGTGGGCGAGCCAGCAATTTAACAAATGGTTCGGTGTTTTTTTATAATTTTATTGGCCTCCCAGCTGCCGTGGGGCTTCAAAGGGCCGCCCTACAGCTGATCAGTGTTAAAAGAAAACAAATGAGTAGATCGGTGCCTGCAAATATAAATGGGTATAAATGGCAAATATAAATGGGTAGAATCCCAGTGGTGGGATTCTACTTTGGTAGAACCGGTTGTTAAGTAGTTAAGCCAGTGGTTGCTAAAGTGGGTGGTACCGCCCCCTGGGGGGCGGTGGGATGGCTTGGGGGGGCAGTAAGCGGCAAGGGGGGCGGCAGAGGGACGCTAGAGGCAAAGGGGTGCGACAGGGGGGCTAAGTGGCAAGGAGGGTGGCCCCCCCTTTGACCTGTGCCTCGCAGCACTTACCTCCTTGCAAGCAAACAGCAAGAAAAAAACAGCCTCTTTCAGCTTCAGCATAGGTTAATTAGCATGATTAGACCGGCCTCCAACTCTCAGCTGATTCGCTCTCAGCTGTTTTGCAGGCTCTTTTGCAAGCTCTTGTTTTGCAAGCTCTTTGCTTGCTGCAAAGAGTGCTGGAGCAGATTTTTTTTTTTCCCCTAGCTAGAAGGAAACTGAAAGTAAAGCAGGCTCTGCTGCAACCTGACAAAATGAGGCAGGGAGAGAGATTTCTTTTTCTTTTTCTTTCTCCTCACCAAAAAAGGTAGGTGCAAACAATGGGAAATTTAGGGCAAAAGAGGAGAGTTCAAGATTTTAAAAGACAAAAGAAAAAAAGCTCTATTTAACTAGGGAATTGTAATAATTGAGATACTATTAATTGTATATTGTGTTGAAGGCAGAAATGGTTAAGTTGTGGTTTGGAGGAATATATGGGGGAAATTATTTGGTTTATTATTATTGGTAAATATAATTAATTGATTTGTAAGAAATTGGATTACATGGAATTGGATTACATGGAATTGGATTACATGGAAATAATTTGAATATTCATGTTCATATTGATTAATATACAAAAAAGATAGTTATATAACTAATTGATCTATATTAAAATGTTGAATTTGTATTAAACAACTGTATTACATAATTAACCAATGTGAGGATGGATATAAAAATAGATGACAATGGGAAGGGGTATAATATAGAATAGAAGGGAAAAATTGAATTTGATTAAGATTAGAAATGAGGATGTAGGGTAATATTGGTTTTTTTAAAAAAATAAATGAGGAATAAAGATGGCAAAAAGGAAATATAGAAATTGTAAATTTAATTGAAATGACTAAACACTGTTTAAATTTGTGAACCGGCCAAATACTTTGTTCAAAGAAAATACATTATATGTTTGTATGTGTGTTTCTAACTATTGTTATTTATTTATATTTGTTCTTTTTTATTCTTTAAAGTTTAACAATTCATTCTTTATCTTAATATCTTTATATTTGTTTGGGGTTGGCTTTCTTCCCATTCATCTTTTTTATTGTACAGCAATCTTTCTCCTCAAACCTACCACCCCTCTTTTTTCTTTCCTTCTTACTTTATCTTCCCCCCTTCTTCTCCTCCCTACTTCCTCTTCCTTTCTCCTTCTCCTCCTCTTTTCCTCCCTCTCTTACCCTCACTCCTACTCTAATTTCCCTTCCCTTCCTTCATCCCTCTCTATTGCTGTATCCTTTTATGCACATGGACGACTCAGAGGACTGAAAAAGTTATTTTTGACTGGTCCTCGCACTTTTGACCAGTCCTCGAACTTACGACTGTCCTCACATTTTACGTTTTTGCCCTATCTTGTCACCATGGTGAAGAGAAGCAGTTGTGAAATGAGTGACACGGTTGTTAAGAATGCTACAATGGGCACAAATGATGACCAGTCATAAGTGCGAAGACCGGTCATAAGTGCGAGGACAGGTCAAAAGTGTGAGGACCAGTCAGAAATGACTTTTTTCAGCCCTCTGAGTAGTCCCTATGCACATAGCCACGCCCACCCGGTCACATGACCAGCTAGCCACGCCCACCCGGTCACATGACCACCAAGCCACACCCCCAACTAAGCCACGCCCACAGAACTGGTTGTTAAAAAAATTGAATCCCACCACTGGACCAATCCAACCACCAATCAGCTGCTCATGCGAAATCAGGCTGTGCTGAAGCTGACCAGGCTGTTTGCTGTTTGCTACAAGGAGGCAAGTTGCTGGGAGACAGAGGCCGAAGGGTGAGGGCCAGCAGGTGGGCAGGGCTCCGGCAACATTTGCTCTATAAGATGCACAGACATTTCCACCCACTTTTTTGGGGGAGAAAGTGCGCCTTATATAGGGGTGGGATTCAACCTATTCAGTCTGGTTTGGGCGAGTTGGTTGGTCCAACGATCAACTGAGAGCGAACCGGTTTGCTCCTACCATCAGCTGGGCCCATCAGCCCGCCCCTGTGCTATACCTACCTTTATTTCATTCATTTGAAACCCAGCTGATCGTCACAGCAAAGCAGATTGCCGCACCTAAACTGTTTTTAGTGCTTTTAACACTGCTTGTAATGGTCTTTTCTAATGGATTGTCCATGCGTGTGCAGCGCATGATTGGCACACATGCGAGCGTAGTGACCATGTGTGCATGAAGTGCGTGCTCAGCAAACCGGTTGTTACACTGGTTGAATCCCACCACTGGTCTTATAGTGCGAAAAATATGGTAATTTGATCTCTTTCCTCAATTGCTCTATGGAATCTGTCCTAAAGTAGATAAAGATCCCAGACAGAAAACTGCACTGAGGAAAGAAGAGCAAACTTCTTCTTTGGTACAACACATGAAGGCCATGGGACACAATATTGATTTTAATAAAACCAGAACAGTGGCGAAAGAGGAACATCTCAACAAAAGAATAATCAGGGAGGCCATCGAAATTGAAAAGAGGCCGCAGAATATGAACAGATGAGACGACGCCTCTAGGTTATCAAGTATTTGGGGACCTGCACTGAGAGAAACTCAAGTGTTAACATCAGAAGAGAGGCAGAGATTCCAACAAGCAACCAATGGTGTTGTAAGGCCTGCCAGAATTCTTCCCTCTTTGCAGAGGGTGGCTAGCAATAGGGAGAGAGAGAGGATCGAGCCAGAAGACAGGCTGAGATCTCAACTAACAATCAAGGGTGCTGGGATGCCTACCAGAATCCTTTCTCCTCTACAGCAGACAGATAATAATAGAGAACCTGAGAAAGCTCGGCCTGTAACACGTAGCCAAACATCCAGGATGAGGAAGCAGGAAGAAAAACTGCTGTCCTCCAATCAGGACACAGAGTTACAGGCTAACCAGCATACGTCAGCAGCAGCAAACATAGAAAAGCGACAGCTCCGACCTCGCAACACACCCATAGCTTCTAAACTAAACAAGAGCCTGAAGATGACAGGGTTGTGAGCCTGTCGAAACGTTGCTAGAAAGAAAAACTTTTAAGGTACTGGTAGGATTTTAGCTAAGGTTTTAAAGGACCTTGCAGAGTGCTCTGTAAGGATTTTTGGAAGATTTTAAGCTAGGATTTTAACCAGAATTTTAAACATTTTAACTAACTTATTTAACATGACGCGGGAAAACACCTGAGATTTTAATTTTTTGCATATGTATGTATGTATGTATGTATATGTATATGTATATGTATATGTATATGTATATGTATATGTATATGTAAGTTTTCACGGGTATATATGTGTGTACAGTTAATATCTCGGGTTCCTTCCCATGTAATTGTAAACATATCCTTAAAAGGGTAGTAGTGACGTTTCAACGAAATCACATTCGTCATCTTCTGGCTGAAGTTCTCGGTTTGGTGCTTATGGGCAAACTGTGTGATCGTAACTGACGTTTTTCTATGAAAAGAGGCAAAGGTTGTAACAACACTGTCGACCAATCAGAATACACCTTCTCACTAGGCAGCATAGAGCAGCATAAGGCCTGCTGGCTGCCAGAAGAAAAAAGCCCAGAATCGAGTGGATGTGACTCCACTGAGCTAGGGCTGTAGAAAAATCTTGGTTACGTAGGAAAAACCTGGCTAAAAGAAAAACACACATAAAACCTACGAAAAAGTAAGAATATATATATATATATATATATATATATATATATATATATATATATTATATATACACACATATATATATATACACACATATATACATATATATATATATATACATATATATATAATATATATATATATATATATATATATATATATATATACATATATATATATATACATTTATACACATACATATATACATGTGTGTGTGTGTGTGTGTGTGTGTGTGTTTGTCACTATTAACATGGTCCTATTTTATGGATTTAACACTGATTTGTTATGTTTGAAGCTGATTTAAATTTGAAGTTATTTTTATTTAAAAGATGGCTAAAAATAAAAGAGGGATGTGATAGTATGAACCTTTGCTCTTCTGATCATCAATCCAGTGTTTGCAATTTTATTTTTTTTAATTCAATTAAAAATCTGTAAGAAATTAAACAATTGGTGTTTCTTAAACATTTGAGTGAACTTCAATGAATGTTTTTTTTCTTTAAATTATATCATATTTTGACTGGAAAAATTGCATTCTACTGTAATACTGAAATTATTAGAGTGGAATTCTCTTAATCACAACATTGATGCTATTCATTCGACTGAGAAGTGAAAGGGAAGCTTCTGCCCTGTTTAAAAGACTACATGAGATTCTTTGAACAGGAAGTGTTGACCTTGCACACAATAGGAAACTGCTGCCAACAAAGGTTTTGACACACTTTAGAGCGTAAAGAAAGCTTGAGGAAGGAAATGCCACATTTGAGAACCAATGACACACAGATGACCTGGGACTGACATTTTGCCTAATGCTGCAAAACATTGTTTCTGAACCAGACTTGGGTTTCACTTCTGAGATCACCTTTCTTTCTCATTACGGAAGAAAGTTGGAAAGATACGGTAGAAGTTAGAAAGCCACTGCATAAACAAAGACATCCTGAAAAGAAATGTCTTCTATGTAGTTTTCTTGTTGTTTGATCAAATGCTGTTACAGTTATTTAAATTGTTTTATTGCAGCTACAATGCTTCTCTGCTGAGTTATGATTTATGTTTCTATGTTTTCATTGTTGCTCAATCGATCTACAATGTTATGGGGGGGTAGGCAGGACAGAAAATAAATTAATAAACAAATAATTATTAGCAGCCACTGATATAACCATTCATCCCAGGGAATTATCTAGGACAGGATTCCCCAACCCCCGGACCATGGACCGCTACCAGTCTGTGGCCCGTTGGAAACTGGTCCACACAAGCAGCAGGAAAACACACAAATCTCCATTTGTACATGTGCAGGATTAGGTTATACACATGAAACCATCCCCTCTCTCTGCTACTGCTGCCCACTGCTGGTCCACAGAGCCAGAAAGATTGGGGACCGCTGATCTAGGATATACACATTCATCAAAAACTCAGCTGGAAAATGCTGGGGTTTTTTGCCTGAGATCTATACTTTGGGATCCACCAAAGTCAGGTGCAAAACAATGACTCAGGAATGACAAAACAAGCAGTCTCATAGGGCTTTGGTTAGCTTAATAATTTTTTTTAGACATGGGTTTCCCTACCGAATGACTTGAAAGATTTATTTTTGTTTCACCTGCAAAGTTCCCTGATTTCAGTATGCTAATATTATTCCAATCAAAAAATTGGAAACTAGAATTTTTACAGCAAAACAAATAGAATACCAACAGATTTGCCTTTTCTGAGCTCTGAGCAGTTGTGATTGGATTGATCTAAAAGGAAGGGAGGGAGGGAGGGAGGGAGGAAGGAAAGAAAGCTTGGTTGGCATGTATTCATCATTAAACACAGGTAGTTGGCTACACAATAGATGTTCTTAATGCAATTGTGCTAATTTATCTCCTAATTAAGACAGGGCAAAATTTACAATTTAAATCTTGATAAAATGCCCTAACTACCTGTTGTTACAGACAACCAATCAGCAAGAATTCAGTAATTAAGTGTTTTCTGGAATCCCAGTACAAAGGGCTTAAAGTCCTCATTTTATGGAGAAACACCACAGTAGTAGAACATGTGTTGGAAGCCGCTTGAAGGACTGTCCCTGAGACTTTGAAACCTAGCTAATAGTTTGTTACAGAAGAACAATTTACTATTCCAAGATTATTGTCCCAGTTTAAGGTCTTAAGATCCTCTTCACTTCATTTAATACAGCAAAGCAACTGCAAAGATTCACCTTGCCTTACCTGATCTCATGTTTCCCTGCCTTTTCTGAAACCTGCAAGTTCATTTCCCTTCTCCATGGGTCTATTTAAGAGTGTAAATAAATGGATAAATGTTTCATTTCGATCTTAAAACAATCAACTGCATCCTGCAAGTTCCAGTCAGCCATTGTGGTTTCACTATGATATCACAAAAATAAATTCAGGAATTTGGGGGTTGTTCTAGGTTAGGTTAAAACCTAACATTTAACCTAATATTTGGACAAAGCAAATAGTGAAAGGACAGTGTGCATGCTCCCATGGTCCATCAATAGTTGCTACCACAACATACTGTATTTCACTAACACATTCAACCCCTGAATCTTCCCAGTTGCCAGTACTATCTGTTAACTTCCAGCTGCAAAAATGCAAGAGAATGGTGATCATGTTCCAGAATGCACTCTCTAGTCTATTCCAATACTTCTGAACCTTAGGAACTTTAAGATGTGTGGACTTCCAGAATTCCCCAACCAGCTTGAGGCCTATGCCCTTCAACACATCCTAACGTTCCCAAGGTTGAGAAACACTTAAGGCAACCAGAAAAGTGAGTGTCTTGGCCCACATCATATAGAAACCGAACACATATTTTTCAGCAGTCATTCAACTAGGTGTGTTCTAGATGTCTTTAATCATTCGTGACCGGAAAAGAGTCCTATTAAGATTTTGAAAGACTTTATAAGAAGGATAGACAAAAGGATAAACTTTACACGCTGGACTACAAAAGATTTTTTTTTTAAGGCTTTGAAAAGCTTTTGCCTTGAAGTACAGAGGAACACAAACTACCTTTGAGACTTTCTTTGAAGAATAGTTCTAAAAACTCAGGGAAAGAATACAAGATTAGCCTATTTCACCAGGGCAAAATGAATGCCCGTCCTGGATTTTTGCTAATGAGGAATAATTGACGAAGCATTCGAATTCTGTTTTTTAAATTAAGAGATGAACTACAGGAAGAAGAGAGATTATTTTCTATTTAAAAATGGTGATAAACTACTAAAATTGTTTTTAGTTGTTGGGATAAAAAGGGAAATTCCTTTTTGTTCTTTCCTGTTCTTTTTTGTGGGTTTTTAAAAAAATTTCTGCTCCCCCCACACAGACATTGCATGTTTCTCTTTGTATTTTGAATAATTTGTATTGGGTTTTATTCTTTCCATTTATTACCCTTAACAAAAAAATACTGAAATTCAATCATCCATGACCAGCATAACCCTATTTAATAATAATAATGTTATTGTCATTGTACATGAATACACAGTATACCCATACAATGAAATTCACTTAACATCTAAAGACCAGGTCCAACACACATAACAATCCCCAAACACACCAGCACCCACCACAAATTCCCCACCCCTAAACCACCCAAACATCCACACAACAGACCAAGTAATGCTGTCCAACAGCTCACTGATGGTGGCCCTTTAGTTCATTGTTGACTGCAATTATAGCTCTGGGATAAAAACTATTCAGAAAACGTGTGGTCTGAGTTTTAATTGTTATTTTAATTTTTAATTGTTTGTTAATTATTTGGAGATTTATACGTCAAAACACACTACTACAACATCAATTAACAATGATTGAGGCTGCTAGAAAAGCAAGAACCAGGTAACTTCAATACCTGAAGCGGTAAAATAGGAAGGAAAGAAGATACTTCAAAATACCTAGAGGACTTCTGATTGAAGAACTCTGTAGAAGACCTCATTGAGATCTTTTGCAACACATAGGATGTTCCAGTCATTAGAGGCAATAATGGAACACACTGCATAAAAGTTCTCATAATCATTTTTTTCTGCTGTTGCCACAAAAACGGAAAAAAAGAAATAAAAGTACAAAATCCACATCATATTCTGCCTGACACTTTCATTTTCTGCTTGTGAAGCTTCCATCCCTTACATGTGCTATCCCAAATCTAATTTTAGGTTCTATTTAGTTGGGTCAAACTATGTTATAATAATAATTTTAAATTAGCATAAATAAATTAATAAATTAGCAATTTTATGATGTCTGTGTATCTATATTTTTCCTGACTGTACACCGCCTTGAGTCCTACGGGAGAAAAGCGGTACAGAAATATAATAAATAAATAATTAAAGAAAGAAAGAAAGAAAGAAAGAAAGAAAGAAAGAGAGAGAGAGAGAAAGAAAGAAAGAAAGAAAGAAAGAAAGAAAGAAAGAAAGAAAGATTATGGTTGGAATAAGGAACCTTGTGCTATTCATCTGTAGGCTCAGATCTGAATCAAAGCATGCCTCTGCCAGCAGTATGCACAGTGCAAGGTCAAAATGGATAAGATGCCAGACACAATATTGCAAACCAAGCCCTTCCTCTTTTTATGTGTGCCAGCTGTGTGGTTTTTGCTGATTTTCTTTGAGACATTTCATTTACTTTCTTCTGTGTTGAATTTCTTGATTTAGATATCTTTTTGCTCTTTTCCTTAATATTGGAAGAATGCATTGAGTTGTTGTATAGTTTTATTGTTGCCCAAGGCTTTGTTTTTGTTTTTTTAGTCTGATAATATAGATCTTATTCTGGTTTTATGTCCACATTACAGCTTACTGGCACGCTTACAGTTTTTATCTTGTTAGATTAACTCACTTTGTACCACAATCTGCTCCTGGAAGTGATTTGGCTGATTGAATTGCACTTCTCAACTTTTTTTCCTATTATGTAATCCATTTGGTTCAAATCTTGTCCAACCCATATAGCCAGGTGTAAAGTTTGCATGCATGTTTCCTGAAACACATAGTAGCAATAAACCAAGAATTATTTTTCAAAACTCTATTGATTTATACCCTGTATTGTGTTTATGTCATGCAAATTTCTCTACCTTTCATAATACTATGTGCTCTCTTGATGCTGCATTCAGTAGACATTGCAATTTGCCACAGAATTATTCAGTCTGTTCCATCATTACCTCAGTCATATGGGCAAACACTTCTGTAACAAAACTATGATTGTATCATTTAATAGGTTATAATTCAGCATATTTTAAATATCACTGCCACTCTGTTCTTTCATTAGCCTCATGCTCTAAATATCATGTAGCCATTTGATTTAAATACAGGTAGTCCTTGACTTATGACCGGTTGCTTAGCAACTGTTCAAAGTTACAACAAAAAAAACCTTCTCAAAAAAAAAACATGTTTATGAGCTGGTTTCAAAGTTATGGCTGTTGTAGCATCCCCACAGTTACATTAACAAAATTTTGGTGAATTCGGTCTTATGACCAACCACAGGGATGCCATAATGGCCTCTACTTACCTACTGCCTACCTCCCCCCACCATCCTACCCTGTTGGATCCCCACAGGTTTTCAGCCTGCTTCCCAATCCCATTGGATTCTGCACCATCCCCCCATCTCCAATCACTCCCTTACCTTTTGTACTGTAGATCTCCTGAACTTCTGAGCTCACACTGGGAAAGGAGAGCAAGAGAGGAAAGGTGGCTTTTCTTGGCTACATGGCTCTGTCCCAGAAGCAGGGACATTTTCAGAGCAGCCACAATTTATCTCAAACCCAAATTTGTCTAAATATTTATGCTATACTATACTATTTTCTTGGCAACAATGCAGATTGTTTGGTATTGCCATTTTCCAGGTTTGATTTTGGAATGACTTCTAAGCAGGTTGTCTTCCGTCATTTGTGCTGTTACTCACTTGCTGTCATTCCAGTTGTAGATTGCTCTTATCTTTACCCCTCCCCTTTTGACTTTACTGGCAAGAGTGACCTTAGCGTGAACTTACATATCTGCTACATCATTCTCAGCCATCTGAACTACATATCACATTGGTAGCACCTGTTATTTAAAACATTAAGAGTAGCTGATATTCATCTATATATTTTGTAAACTTTCTTGAGAACTTTGGAAATTATCTATAAATGTATGCACCTTTCAGTTGAAGAAGAAAATGCCTGAATTTTGAAACATCTAGACATGGTTATGTTACCACCTGTCAACCAGTCAATTAACTATGAAATAACAAGAAAATTTTATTTTAGAGGCTATTTAATTATCAAGAACTGGTGGCTAAATGACACACTATAAACTGTATTTTTTTCAGGCTTGCCAATTGTGCTTTTTATTATCTATATACAAACCAGTCCATCTAATTGCCTTCTTCATACTGAGGGGAAAAAATGAGAGTAGCCCAAAATCACCCAACTGGCTTCATGCTTAAGGCAGTTGTTAAGTGACTCATACAGTCATTAAGTGAATCTGACTTTGCTCATTTACTTTTCTTTTTGGAAGCTGGTTGGGAAGGTAACAAATGGGGATCACATGACCCCAGGAGAGTGCAACTGTCATAAATACATGCCGGTTGCTAAACCACCCGAATTTTGATCTCATGACCATGAGGATGCTGCAATGGCCGTAAAGGTGAAAACTGGTCATTTTTTTCAATGCCGTTGAAAGGTCACTAAATAGCTGTAAGTTGAGGAGTACATATACCAATTTCAAAATTAAAAAAAGTTTCTGTGACAACCATGGACATCGTTCAGGGGAACAATTCCCCTCTCCTTTCAGATAAACTATATTCCTCAGATTCACTTTCTTTAAAAAGAGCCAGTCTCCACACCAGCTAGAAACCAAGATATCCTAAGGCAAAATATGCAGTTATATTTGTTTCTTTCTATTTGGTAGTAAAGATCTCTTCCTGTTCCTATGGTTTCAGACTATAAATAAACATTCCTAACAATGACTGTTGGACGTGATGTGGAAGAGTTCTTCCTGAAAAACTTCTTTTAAGATGTTAGGAAATGATTTCTGCCTCATTTTTTAAAAAAGACTATTAAAATCATGGCCTTTGGTGAACATTTGTTTGTAGAGTAGTCTATCTCCCTCAATCAAAAAGAGCAAAGGCAAGAGCTGTCAACAATAAAGTACGTAAAAAGCTTGGCTAAATATATCAATTTCTCCACAATGTGAAAAACACCACTACCTAGATTCCACTGTTGCTTTCTGTAGAAGGCTTGTTAGTGATCTTAAGAAGTGTTATCTCAGAGGTAGAGTCTCTGCAGAATTCAGGTTTAGCCTCTGACTAAACCTGGGGAAAATTCATATTTAAAGCCAAAGGGTTCTCAACAAGCAATGTAGCCAGAACTGGCCCTTATGGACCAATGGCTGACTCAGTATAATATGCAGCTTTCCATTTCTGTTTTATGCATGGAATTATTTTCCTGACAAATTTAAAAAAAAACAAATTTAAGAAAAACATGGACTTTGTCAAAGCAACAAAAAGAACTAACAACACGATCCTAAGATTGATTTATTATTTTTTATCATGGAATATGACACTACAATAGCAATAGCAATAGCTCTTAGACCAGAGGTGTGAAACTCATGTCATCACCGGCGGCATTACGTGATATATCGGGACTTTTTTCCCCTTCGCTAAACCAGGCGTGGGCGTGGCCAGCATGTGATGCATCTGTCCCGCAGGCCAGGCATTTGACAGCCCTGTTTTAGACTGACATACTGCTTCACAGTGTTTTACAGCCCTCTCTATGTGTTTTACAGAGTCAGCATATTGCCCCCAACAATTTGGGTCCTCATTTTAGCAACCTCAGAAAGATGTAAGGCTGAGTCAACCGGGAGCCGGTCAAGATCCAACTGCTGGCAGTCGGCAGAATTAGCCTGCAATATTGCATTCTAACCACTGTGCCACCACACAGTGTATCTAATGCTACAAAATAGCATAGATGGGAAAGATTAGGATTGTGGATTACCTTTGGCAGATCTTGTAGAGTGTCTAACAGCTGTTAGCTGTTACTTTTAGCACCAGACGTTGCCTTTTTGTTATGGGATTGATGCCATCCACAGCAGTGGTGGGTTCCTCCCGGTTCGGCCCAGTTCCACTGAGCTGGTAGCGGTGACGATATGGCGTCACCGAACTGGTTCTGCCCCCCCCGCTCCCCACCCCCCCCACCCCCCCGCGTTATTCTTACCTTTTATTTGGCCCCAACCCCAATCTATTGCTGCCTCCTGAGTCCCAGCTGATGGCTAGAGGGAAAAAAACTGTTTAAACTCTTGCCATGGGGCTTCAAAGGGCCGCCCTACACCTGATCAGTGTTAAAAGAAAACAAATGAGTAGACTGGTGCCTGCAAAAATACATGAGTAGATCAGTGCCTGCAAAAATACATGAGTAGACCAGTGCCTGTAAAAATACATGAGTAGATCAGTGCCTGCAAAAATAAATGGGTAGATCGGTACAGCTCTGCAAGCAGTTAAAAGCCTGGTAGACCAGTACCTCTGCTAAATCCTAAATAATTGTCACATGACCATCAAGCCACACCCATAAAATAAGCCACACCCACAGAACCAGTAGTAAAAAAATTTAGAACCCACCCCTGATCCACAGATATAGAACTCCTTTGCAAAAAGACAAACTATGCTATCCTCAAGAAGCAGCATTTATTTATTTCTACCATTTACATAATACTCCTGATGATTTTAAAAGGCTGGCAATTAAAAATATAACAAAAACAAAACACCAAAAATACCATGAATACCATACAGTGGTGCTTAAAAATTTGTGAATGTGTTTGAATTCACAATACTTCTACAAATATGGCCTAAAACATGAACTATTCTTCACACAAGTGTTAAAACTAGATAAAGAGAACCCAGTGAAACAAATGAGTCAAAAATATTGTACATTGTTCAATTAATCAATGAAGAAAATGATCCAAAACTACATATTTAATGTCTGGCAAAAGAATGTGAATCTTTTTTCAGTAACTGGTGTGACCTCCTTGAATAGCAATAACTGCAGCTAAATTTTCTAAAAAGTAATGAATCCTGCACATTAGCTTGGAGGAATTTTAGCCCTTTCCTCCTTATAGAACTGCTTCAAGAGATGGTGGGGGTTAGGTCTTCTTCAAGTCCTCTCACTCAGGGGTGGGTTCTAAATTTTTTTACTACCGGTTCTGTGGGCATGGCTTATTTTGTGGGTGTGGCTTGGGGGGTAATGTAACTGGGTGGGCGTGGCCAACTTTTTTTTTTTTTTTACTTTTACTTTTAAAAGCATTTTTTCTACAACCTTAAGAGGTTGCAGAAAACAATGCTTTTAGAAGCTTCTGCCAATCAGGCAAATCTGCTGGGATCACGAGAAGCTTTCAAAGGGAATTTTTTTCCCTACAACCTCCTGGGCTAAGGAGGTTGCAGGAAAACATGCTTTTAGAAGCTTCTGACAATCAGGCCGGAGGTTTGGGCAACCCGTCCTTTTTTGGGGGGGGGATCTTTGCAAAGAAAAGGAAAGCAGATAAGGCAGGTTTAAAGACCTCTCTGCCGCAAAGCCAGGGGCATCCCCTGGAAGTCCCAGTCATCGGAGATCCTGGCCCCCACTCCAAACAAGCCAATTCACAGGCTCGGATTCCCGCCCACCCCCCTCTCCCCGCGAGCTACACAAAACGCATGTGGAGCGTCAGAATCCCCAACTCGCGCCTGGTTTTGCAAAAGCCCAGTTGGATAGGATCCCCCCCCACGCCGACCCTCCACACTTCCTCCACCGGTTTCCTGGTGGTGTAGGCAGCAGCCCAGGGTGGGGAAAGGAGGCACCATCCGTGAGGCCGCTTTGCAAAGGCGCACCTGCGCAGCGCCTCCTGCGCTCTTACCTGTTGGATCTGCCCAGACACCATCGCCGCCGCTGCAGCCACCGGAGCCCGTCTGGCGCCGGCGGGGAACTTTTTCAAACTTGGCCCGGCCCCGCGGAGGAAATACGGCACGCATCTCGCACCCTCTGCTGGCTCTCCGATCTGGTCGGAGCCCGGGAAGCCCCTGTGGAAAACTCACCGTCTTTGCCCCGTGGGTTCCGCACAACGGCCCTTGCAGGTAGACCCAGGGACCTAGGAAGGTCATGGGGATGCTGGGCCCCGTGCACCCAGGTGAGTCGTGTTTGGCGCCGTGGGCGTATCGCGGGGATGGCGGCCTCTGGGGCAAGTTTTGCCTTCTGCTCTGCTCCCATGTGTCTGGGACGGATGGCTTATCCCTCGGTCGAGCCAGCTAAGAGGCAAAGTTCCTCCTCCTGCCATCCTCGAGCTCAGCTCCGTGCAGCGTCCAGCCAGCCATACCTGGCTTCTCCCTGCAGCAGCCCACATCGATCCCAGGCAGCGGAACTTCGGGGCCTTTCCTCATGGTGGCAGTGACGAGGCAGGCAGGCAGCCGGGTGCACGGGAGCGAGTGGCGGCAGCTCTCCTGGCTGGCAAAGGGCGGAGCCCCGGGGCTGCATGCGGGCAATGACGGTGGGCGGGGTAAGCGACCGGCGACTGGGCCAGGAACCAGTTTGGGGGCGTGGCCAGCTAATCTTATTACTGGTTCTCCGAACTATTAAAATTTTTTACCACCGGTTCTTGTGAACCGGTGCAAACCAGGAGTAACCCACCACTGCTCTCACTACATTCTTACAGGTTTAAGATCAAGACTTTGACTTGGTTATTCCAAAGCATTAACTTTTTTCTGCTTTAACCATGCTATGATTGTTATGACTAGACTATTTTCTTCCTACATGACCCATTTTCTCTTGAGCTTCAGTTCAAAACACTTTCTTGTAGAATTTGCTAGGACAATTCAGAATTCATAGTTTCATCAATTATGGCAAGCTATACTTGTCCAGTGGCAGACAAACAGGCCCAAACTAAGATACCGTCAATGCCATGTTTTTCTGATAGTGGAATTCACTATCTTTCACCAAACCACTTTGATTTTTATCTCTTCCCTAGAATGTTCTTCCATTAGCTTCTGGCTTATCCATGTGATCCAACTGTTCATGTTTTAGTCCAAGGTTGACTCAGCCTTCCATCTGGGTAAAATGAGGAACCAGATTGTTGGGGGCAATATGCTGACTGTGAATTGTTCAGAGAGGGCTGTAAAGCACTGTGAAAAGCTATATAAGTCTAAGTGCTATTGCTATTGCTATCTTTTGAAACTGTAGGGAGGCAGCAATGTCCTTTTTGGAGAGTAGTGCCTTTTTCCTTTCAACCCTGCCACACATACCATTGTTCCATGTTCTTCCAATGGTGGTCTCATGAACACTGGCATTCCCCAATACAGGATAGCTAAGTCCACATATTTGAGATTTTGCTAAGGTTGAGAAACACTACTTGAGAGTGTGACAATGGAGTTCTGAAGGAATTATCTCCTATCTTGCAAGGGAAGAAGAGAGTGAATTGAAAGTGCTGCACTCATAAAAAAAGGGCAGCATGAACTCAGATTCCTCTGTCTATTTACAATATCTGCTTATTGTTTATTCTTATGATGAGTTATTATTTGTAACTATGTAAAGGAATTCCAGATGGTAACACAGTGCAAAGTTCTGTTAGTTTCCTCTGCAGCTTTTGAAAAGTTTAACTCAAAACAACCCAAACAGTTTGAATACATACTGTAAGCAAGAGGATGCTTATCTCTCTTTTGAGTGTGATAATTTTTCTAGTTCAAAACAGAAGATTTCCAGATGTCCTCAGTATATCCTTTTTATTAAATACAGTAAAAGTTAGAAGATTCTTCAGAAACCCCTTTCTAAGTTCTCATCTTCATCAAGATTCATATTAATTTCAAAAGTCACTTTGTGTCAAAACATTCACAGGTGAAACAAGGGAAGAGACAAAACCCTGTAACTTTGATAAAGAGATAGCAGAGCTGGACTCATTCAATACCTTGCATGCAAAAAGAAAGTACATTTGTTAACATTGAGGTTTTTTTTTTTTAAACTCTCCAAGGCTCTGATTTTCATTAAAAAATGGAGTTAATGGATCTTTTAAAAATCTGAATGTATTTGTTATATAGTATCTTAGCAAGCAATGTATCTGTCAGGATTTGAGAAATATTGACTCTTTCATACCCCACCCATTTAGGGTGGAGTTTTTGAGAATCAGCATTGCAGTCACATTTATTGTAGTTAATAACTTTGACTGCAACTTTGAGGTAGGACGGAGATTACCTCATTTAAGCTATTACTGTATTGTAAAATGAACATAACAGTTAGAAATGTTGTCAGAAAATCAACTGACTTCTTTACGCTAGTCATCAGAGCCTACCAAATGAAGCAGCTCAGACTTTCCCTTTCTGATATTAGTACAACTTCTGAATAAAACCGAAACCATCCAACTGGAAGAAAACGTTGGAAAAGATTGTTTGTGAAAAATGTAAGTAATTTATTATAATCTGGATAACATGTTTATAGAATTTGCTATCAAAAGTTGGGAGTTAAAAAGGCTGGCTAAAAAAATTTTTAAGTACAAAATAGCAGAAGACATTATTATGGTTTTCCTCTTCCAAGATTCCAGACAGACAAGCATTTTCTTTGTGTTCTCTTTTAAGGTTTCCCCCTATTTTTTGTTTTGCTTATCTTAGGAAATCAGGACTTCTTCTAAGCCTTCTGACATCTTTCACTTGACTATGGAAGGTTCCATTTTGGCCACATACAAATCCAGATGCAGAGGAAGAAATTACTATTAGCATAAAGACTACATCTTTACTTCATCCTTCCTTAATCCTGGATCTAATTTATTTCTCTTTCAGTAAATGCTGTGTAAGTATGGTATACAAGAATTTATTAATGTTTTCCTTTTCAGTAAGTAGTCTTGAAATTGGCAAATAAGTTTCCATAAAATGGTATCCACTAAGATTTCATTCATCTTCCATCCTTCTTCATCTTTACCTCCAAATCTTAGCTACAGAGAAATAATTTAAATATTTTTCTACAACTTTATACACATACTGGAATACTTAAGGAGTATACCTACCATATTAAATCATCCTGACAAAACAAGCTTAGTATAGTATTTTGTAAACCTAGGAATTCCTTTGGAATGATTATCTCCATGGCAGTATGTAATGCAATGTGAGCTGCAGTTTACAAAAGCCAATGCCTTTTTAAAAAAGTTGCAGGTCTTAAAAGGTGCTAACAGATTCCTTGAATTTTTAATATAACTTACAGTTGCTATTCAGAATTGATTTATATCTCATGCTTTTTAAAAACTATTTGTTTTCTGAACTTTGTTGATTTCATGACATAGAAACAAGTATTATTCTTGCTAAAATATGGGAAGCGGAGCTAACAAAAATAATAATGTTTTCTGAGTTGTCACATAGTTGTCCATTCATAAGTATATACATACATATTTCATCAGCTCTAGACCTCAGTTCATTCAGGATTACCCAAGGAAAAAAATATGTGAGGTGTATATAGGTAGTCCTCATCATATGACCACAATTGAACCCAACATTTCTGTTGCTTAGCGAGACATGTAAGTCAGTTTTGCCCCATTTTACGATTTTTCTTGCGACAATTGTTATGTGAACCACTTCAGCTTTAAGTCAGTAACAGAGTTGTTAAGTGAATCTGGCTTCCCCATTGACTTTGCTTGTCAGAAGATCCCAAAAGGTGATCACATGACCCCAGGACACTGCAACCGTTATAAATAGGAGTCAGTTGCCAAGTGTCTGAATTTTGATCAGGTGACCATGAGGATGCTACATCAGTTGTAAGTGTGAAAAATGGTCATAAGTCACTTTTTTAAATTTTGAACAGGCACTAAATGAAGTTTTGTAAATCGAGGACTACCTGTATTCATTATCTCATCCTTTTTTTAGGATACCTTCTAAAATCAGCCTCTCAGTATTGGATATCCACCAGACTTGTTGGGATTATAACTCCCAAGCTGGAAAAGAAACTGAATTAAGTAAATTTTCTGGATTTGCATGAGACCCTGAACCATAATCTAATCACATCGCCTGGATTCATGCTAAGCTAAAGTATGATTGGCTAGTTTGTGGCGTAACCCTCCTTTAAGTCAAGTTTGATGCCCGATGTTGCTGTGGAAGCACTTTTGTGTAACTTTCATGGAGGCAATAGGGAAATAGCTAGCTGTTGCTTTCTTCTAAGAATCTAGATTTTGTTTTAACAGTCTGGTCTAGTTCAGGTGTGGTATTCACTTACCTTTGCTACCGGTTCGCAAATGTGAGCGGGCGGGCAGGCCTTCAATACATGCGCAGAGCATCAAAAACATGGATAAATGGGACGTGATTACATTCAGGTGGGTGGGCGGAGCCTCCCACAGCCGCCACTACCGGTTAGTCCGAACCGGATAGAACCGGCTGAATACCACCACTGGTCTAGTTTATAAGGCTGATCTTCTATTGCGGTTTCTCATTGCATCAAATCAAGTCTAGACCTACTTGGCTTCTGAATCCAAACAAGATAGGCGAGGACTTTAACTTATTAAGACTGTGGTTAAGTTCAGTAATTACAGGTAGTCCTTGACTTAAAATCACAGTTGGGAACAGAACTTCTGTCACTAAGTGAAGCAGCCATTAAGTTAGTCACACCTGATTTTATTACCTTTTTTTGCCATGGTCATTAAATGAATCACATAGTCATTAAGCAAATACAGCTTCCTTTCCGATTGATTTTGCTTCCTCGAACCCCCCTGGGAAGATCGAAATGGCAATCACATGACCCTATGACACTTCAACCATCACAAATACATGCCAGTTGCCAAATGCCTGGATTTTGATCGCATGACCACAAGGACGCTGTGATGATTATAAATGCAACGACTGTCATATGTCACTTTTTTTGACTGTTGTAGCTTTGAATGGTCATAAATTGAGGACTACCTATAGTTGTTTAATCAGTTAAATAAGCTATAGCTTACTAGCATAGGCTTAATGCAAAGCTTATATTTTCTTATATTTCACATATATATTTCTCTTATTTAAGAGAGACCCACAAATTTCCTGGTGCATATGTGCATCTAGTTTATTTATTTATTAAATTTATATTTCACCCATCTCACTATCAAGCAATTTTGGGTAATTTATCTATGTATTATATACGTACTGTACAGTTTGCACTAAGGCTTTATTTTTGAGATAATTTATTTAAAGATTATCTACAAAGCAAGGATGAAATGCTCCCGGTTCGGACCGGATCGCCCGATCCGGTAGCGATGGCGGCGGGTGGTTCGGAGATCCGGTAGCAAAAATTCCTGTGCCCTCCCCCCATGCCCAGCTGAGCCGCGCGATCATCAGAGGCTGTATTTTTTTACTTTTAAAAGCATTTTTTCTACAACCTCTTCGGCCGAAAAAAATGCTTTTAAAAGTAAAAAAAAAAAAAGCCTCTGATGATCGTGCAGCTCTGCTGGGATTGTCAGAGGCTTTTAAAAGCATTTTTTCCTAAAACCTCTTCGGCTGAAGAGGTTGTAGAAAAAAAATACCTTTAAAAGCCTCTGGCGATCCCAGCTGAGTTGCCTGATTGTCAGAGGCTTCTAAAAGCATTTTTTCTGCAACCTCTTAATGTTGTAGAAAAAATGCTTTTAAAAGTTTAAAAAAAAAAGTTGGCCACGCCCACCCAGTCACATTACACCCCTCCCCACCAAGTCACACCCACAGAACTGGTAGTAACAAATTTTAGATTTCACCCCTGCTACAAAGTACAAGTAGTCCTCATTTAGTGTTATCTCTTTTAGTAACCATTTGCAGTTAGTGACAGTGATATGAAAGTAACTTTTCAGCCAATCCTAGCATTTATGACCTTCACAGATCTGTAAAGCAAAAGGAATCTGAAGTAAGATAATCAGCACAGTTGCAGTTTCTCTTACTAACCATTTCACTTAACAGCCAAATTGTTGGTCCCAACTGTGGTCACTAAACTACCGATAATCAAATCCCAGTTCTTGAATAGGGTATACGGTACTAGCCTCAGAGATGGAGATTTTCATGCTTGGATTGAAAATAAGGCTGAAATTCTTTTGTATTAAGCTCTTTTTATAAAACATAAAGCAAGCGTATAACGTCTTATTTTTACTGTCTTAACATGTAAGCATTTCCATATACACAGCTGCTAGAAGAATTCATACTGTAAATTATCCATTTCAAACTGTCAAGAGGGGCCATAATAAATCTCTTAATAGAGATCTTAGAGCCAATTCTGTCAGCTGAATAGAAAAAGGGCAGTGATTAAACAGGCTGTTTTCTCTATTCTTCACAATTAACAATTACATTTTACTTGCCAACAAAAAGTCAAGATGATGGGCACAATGGTGTAATCAAAACTTTGTCTCTTTCATGTGCAGCTGAAAAGAAATAGTGCAAAAGTGTTGTAATCTTACTATCTCAAAATACTTATTTTGAAAAGAATACTATATAACCCAGCCAGGTAGTAACATAAGGCTATTAGCTGATTTTGAAAAATTAAGTAGAGTTGGCCCTGCTTAGTAAAGTTGCACAAGTCCTTCCGACAGAGTATAGAGTATCTCTCTTCACTTCATTAAAGCATTCCTGATATCTCCAGCTTGCACAATTGCTTTGTCAGTTTGACCTCTTTGTGTGTGCATTTATACTCAGCCTTAATAATAATGAAATCACATATTATAACAGTGCACGGGTTCATAATTTTTGCAATGCTTAATTATGATTGTTAATTAAGCCAGAGTTGAGAGCCTGTCGTGATTAAAGCGCTAAACTAGAGACTGGGAGTTCTAGTTCCATTTTAGGCAGTGGTGGGATTCTGCCGGTTCTAGGGGGTTCAGCCGAACCATTTGTTAAATTGCTGGCTCGCCCCACCCCTTGCCCCGCCCCTCCGCACCACTGGGCGAGGGGTGGGCGAGCCAGCAATTTAACAAACGGTTCGGTGTTTTTTGATAATTTTATTTGCCTCCCAGCTGCCGCAGGGCTTCAAAGAGCCACCCTATAGCTGATCAGTGTTAAAAGAAAAGAAATGAGTAGACCAACGCCTGCAAATATAAATGGGTAGACCCAGTGGTGGGATTCTACTTTGGTAGAACCGGTTGTTAAGTAGTTAAGCCAGTGGTTGCTAAAGTGGGCGGTACCGCCCCCTAAGGGGCGTGGGGTGCCTTAGGGGGGCGGTAAACGGCAAGGGGGGCGGCAAGAGGGACGCTAGAGGCAAAGGGGGGTGACAGGTGGGCAAAGTGGCAAGGAGGGTGGCCCCCCCTTTGACCTGTGCCTCGCAGCACCTTACCTCCGTGCAAGCAAACAGCAAGAAAAAAACAGTTTCAGCATAGGTTAATTAGCATGATTAGATCCCTCCGACTCTCAGCTGATTCGCTCTCAGCTGTTTTGCAGGCTCCTTTGCAAGCTCTTTGCTTGCTGCAAAGAGTGCTTGAGCAGATTTTTTTTTCCCCTAGCTAAAAGGAAAATGAAAGTAAAGCAGGTTCTGGTGCAACATGACAAAATGAAGCAGGGAGAGAGATTTCTTTTTCTTTTTCTTTCTCCTCACCAAAAAAGGTAGGTGTAAACAATGGGAAATTTAGGGCAAAAGAGGAGAGTTCAAGATTTTAAAACACAAAAGAAAAAAAGCTCTATTTAAATAGGGAATTGTAATAATTGAGATACTATTAATTGTATATTGTGTTGAAAGCAGAAATGGTTAAGTTGTGGTTTGGAGGAATATATGGGGGAAATTATTTGGTTTATTATTATTGGTAAATATAATTAATTGATTTGTAAGAAATTGGATTGCATGGAAATAATTGGAATATTCATGTTCATATTGATTAATATACAAAA